GCGGGTCCGGGCTGGGGATTCGAACCCGCCACCTTAGGTGTACGTGGCTGGCGCCTTAGCCGGTTGAGCTATAGGCGCCGAGCCCTGTTTATTTGTTTTTAATTTCTAATTACTGTGGGCACATGAGTGTGTACCTTTCTGGCACTATGTGCTCTGCAGTCTTGTAGCTCCTATGAGTCAGAACACAGTGGCCAGAGCAGATTCCTTCACATTGTTCTTTCTTAACTCATCTCAGGCTTTCTGTGCTGGGCCAGTTCTGGAGTTGGCTCCTTTGTGTCCTTTAAGAATCGTGCCATGGTTTTGACTGGAATGTGTTGAATTCCTAGATTAATTGGGGTGGGGATGGGGTGCAGAGAGAGGGGCCATGCGGGGCTGCTAGAATTTCTGGTGGATGGGGATCAGGACACCATAGTGATGGGAGGTTTGCAGAGAACTTGCTGATGTCAGTGCCTGGGCCACGGCCTGGGGCCATCTCACCTGCCATGTGTTGGGTGACTCAGCAAGAGAGCAGGCAGCCCTAGTGTTCTCATGTTCTAGGCATACCAAGGGGGACCCCATGCTCTCTCCCCAGGCTCCTGACTGTGGGTCATGCTTTCTCTACCTTTCAGATTGTGTTCAGTGCAGACATGTCCGAGGTTGGCCCCAGTTCTGCTGTGGGGCTGGGGACCTTACAGTCCTATAAGGTAGGGGCTGCCTCCAGGAAGTGGGCAAGGTGGGTTCCCCATCACATAAGGTAGGGCCTTCTCCAGAACATGTGTGGGACCTCAGGACACCGGTCTATACTCTGCTCCAGGTGCATATCCACCCTGACACTGGTTGCCAGAGGACAGCTCCACGGTCAGACTCCTGGGGCACCACTGCCCCCCGGAAGCCAGGTATGGGATACATCTGGCTGACCCAATGGGCATGCATGCCATACCACCACCAGCCTCTCCTGCTCCCCTGGCCTGACTCCCATCTCCATGTCCAGCCTCTTAAATGTGGCCTTGCTCCTCCTTGAGAGTCAGAGTTATCGTACCTAGAGAGACCTCAGAGAAGGCCTAATGTCACTGGGACTTTCCCAGAGTCACCTGGTTGGTGGTAGCACAGCCAGGGCAGGTCAGTGCACAGACCTGCCACTGAGGCTCAGCTCCCATCCCCTGGTTCAGCCAATGCCAAACTAGGCCCTCCAAATTCTTCTCTGTGCTGCTGGGAGACCCCAAGCCTCAGGGTTGAGTCTGAAGGGCACACCTGGATGGCCCCAAGTCCTGCCTCCTTCACATGCCTTGTTGATTTCTCCTGCCTCTCAGTGGTCAGTGTTGGTGCCTCTAGGAATGTGTCTGTGCACATGTCCTGGGCTCCGTGTCTGGAGCACTGCAGCTCCCAGGTTGCACCTGGCCCTCCTTACCCTGCCTGCTGGGTAACGCTGGCCCATGGTGGCCAGAGTAGGGCTTCAGCTACAGCTTGTGTGAGTCAGTGGGGCAGGTTCACCCTGCATGGCTCTGCCTTCCCCCTACGGGCTGCTCTTAGGGTGCCCTCGAGTCTGTGACTTGTGACACAGTGTGGCCCCAGCAGGAGCAGCCGGGGAGTGTGTGCTGTAGCTCTGGGAGGGAAGGCCTGGGAGGTGGCCCAGTAGGACATGTCCCTCCTAGGTCATTGTGTCCCAGGGGCTAGGGCGGGGCAGCCTGGCCCCTCTACCTTTGAAGTCAGGTGACTTCCCAAAAATACCACTCCCTGGGGGTGTTTACAAGAAGTCAGTTTATGGGTGAGCTGCTTCCTACTGCCTGGCAGCCCTAAGTCATCTCCCCACCACAGGGCAGTTACGAATCCATGTGGAAAAGGCCTTTCCCACCCAGGAAGCAGTGCTGCCTCACTTAGGAAAAGGGCTAGTTGTGACTTTCTCGTCACATTTCACGTTGCACTACTTGTGTAGTTTTAATTTCTAGAGCTTCTGTAGACTGCTGGGAGCAGACAGGGAGCCAGTCCCCTTGCCCGGGCCTCTTCCCTGCTCCATGCTGTCCTTGGTCATGGCCAGGCATCTGTACACACTGGGGGCCCATTGGAACATCAACCTTGTTTGCTGCTGACACACAGGGGCTCATGCCAACCCAGGGAGTCTGCGAATTTGGGCCCCTCTCTGTAACCTATGCTTGCAGTATCAGGAGGTGAAGTGTCGCTTCCTTCCCATATGCTTTGTGGGGTGGGATCACATCCTGAGCCACACAGTATAGTCCCACAGGGGTTTAGAGTTGGAGTTGGCTGACCTCCCTCTTGAAGTAACCCAAGCACTAGTCTGGTGCCTCCTTTTTGCCCCTAGGACTCCTGACAGAGGGCCTAGTATGTAGGCTCTGAGCAGGCCCATCCCAACCCCTGTACACTGGACCAGGGCTTGCAGGGTTCACTCATGTGATACTGAATGGGTAAGAGGGCAGTAGTCAGACCCTTGGTCCCATCCTCACATCTTGCCCCCTCACCACCATACAGGGAAAGTGCTGAGCTACTGGTGTTTTAGCCCTGGCCACAGCATGCGTGAGCTGGTCCGCCAAGGTGTCCATAGCCTCATCCTCACCAGTGGCACACTGGCCCCGGTGTCCTCCTTTGCCCTGGAGATGCAGATGTATGGACCAGGCCCCACCAAGAGGCTGAGTGCTGGTGACACCAGCAGGGTGGGGTGCACTGGGTTTGGGGCTGGGGGTTCCTGTCAGGGTGTTGAGGGGCTTGGACCTTGCAGCTGTAGTGGTGCTTTTTACTGCTCCCCACCGTTTGTTCCCTTTGGCCATGTTTAGCCCTTTCCCGATCTGCCTGGAGAACCCCCATATCATAGAGCAGCACCAGATCTGGGTGGGGGTTATCCCCAAAGGTCCGGATGGAGCCCAGCTGAGCTCTGCATTTGACAAACGGTAAGGGGTCCTGGCAAGGGCAAGGAGACGGGGGTAGAGGGGGTTGGGCTTGGGACCCTCATGGCAGTGGCCTCCCTGGCTCTGTGCAGGTTTTCTGAGGAGTGCTTATCCTCTCTCGGGAAGACGCTGGGTGAGTACTTCACATGGAAGCCATGTCCCTCAGGAAGCCCTTGTTCCCTACTGTACCTGTGCTGGTCCCCCCATTCCCCAGAGTCAGTGGGGGCCTCTGTGGATACCTGGCTCTGTCTTGACCATGGCCATGGTGCTTCCAGGCAACATCGCTCGCGTGGTGCCCCATGGGCTCCTGGTCTTCTTCCCTTCCTACCCGGTCATGGAGAAAAGCCTGGCGTTCTGGCGGGTGTGTCTCCCTGTGTGTCCTCCTAGGGGGTGGAAGGGTCCGGGCTGGGGGTGGAGCAGAGCTACAGCCATTGCCTGCCATGACGAGCGTCCTCCCCCCAGACCCGGGACTTGGCCAGGAAAGTGGAAGCACTGAAGCCTCTGTTTGTGGAACCCAGGAGCAAGGGCAGCTTCTCAGAGGTCTGCTGCAGACTGTTCCCCAGGGCCCCATTTCTTCCCTGACCTGGGTGTGGGCATGATAGGAGGAGACCCTCTTGTCTGAGTAGGCCCCTGCTAGCCACCCTGGCTCTGGGGTTTCCCGTGTTTTCTTGGAAACACTGAATAGGCTCTGGGTGCCATGAAGAAGCTTCTAGGACCCTGCATGAAGCTCCTGGTTGGGATACCATCTTATCCTGGAGGATGTGATCTAGGGTCTCACAGAAGGAGGAGAAAGGATATGAGTGGGGCTCGCAGCTCAGGCTGACCAACCTCCCCTTCCAGGTCATTGATGCCTACTACAAACAGGTGGCCTCTCCTGGGTCCAGTGGGGCCACCTTCCTGGCGGTGTGCCGGGGCAAGGTGAGCTTTCTGTGGCTGTTGTCCCCCAGCCTGTCTGCTGGTGCCCTGGAGGCTGAGCCTAGGGCAGGGCAAGCTTGGGCCACTCCTTGGGCCTCTAACACATAAACCACAAAGGAGCCATACTCCTAGACCTGGTGGGGCTGGCCCTACCTGGACTCTGAGACCCCACTCAGGAGCCAAGGGCCAATAGCTCGGGGGAGGTTCCTAGCAATTAAGAGCTGGTCATGGGCTCGGCACCTGTGGCTCAAGCGGCTAAGGCGCCAGCCACATACACCTAAGGTGGCGGGTTCTAATCCAACCCCGGCCCGCCAAATAACAATAATGGCTGCAACCAAAAAATAGCCGGGTGTTGTGGCGGGCGCCTGTGGTCCCAGCTACTTGGGAGGCTGAGGCAGGAGACTCGCTTGAGCCCAGGAGTTGGAGGTTGCTGTGAGCAGTGAAGCCATGGCACTCTACCCAGGGGCTCAGCTTGAGGCTCTGTCTCAAAAAAAAAAAAAAAAAAGAGCTGGTCATGGTGTTCTGGGAACTACACCTCTGAGTGGGGCCTGAGTTAGGATGGAGCTTTCACCCTGCTGCCTGCCTGGGCATGTATGGCCAAGAAGGTCAGGGTATGGATGGACATAGGGAAGGTCCCTGGGCTTGGGTGCAGGCAGCTAGGGAAGAGGAATGGCCACTGCTCCCAGGCAGCTCCCTGGCCTGTCCCCTAGGCCAGCGAGGGACTGGACTTCTCAGACATGAATGGCCGTGGTGTGATCATCACAGGCCTCCCATACCCCCCACGCATGGACCCCCGGGTTGTCCTCAAGATGCAGTTCCTGGACGAAATTCAGGGCCAGAGCCAAGCTGGGGTCCAGGTGAGCAACCAGGGAGCTGGAGCTGGGTGGGTGTAGGGAGGAAGCCCCATGACAGGGCTCCCTACCCCCCTCTGTAACCTGGGGCCTATCATAGAGCCCCCATTTCCCCCTACGACCCAGGCCCACCACAGAGCTCCCATCCCCTTCTGTGACCCAGGGCCCATAACAGAGCCCCCCCTCCAGAGCTCCCATTCACCCCCACAACTCAGGGCCCACAACAGAGTCCCTTTGCCCCCACAGTTCCTCTCTGGGCAGGAGTGGTACCGTCAACAGGCATCCAGGGCTGTGAACCAGGCCATAGGGCGGGTGATCCGGCACCGCCATGATTATGGGGCCGTCTTCCTCTGTGATCACAGGTGTGTGGTATGCAGGTGGGGGCTCCACATAGACACTCCCCCCCTTGCTGGGTCCAGTCCCTTTCTAGACCAATGGACCCTCCTTCTTGAGGAGGGCCCAAGAAGGGCCCTCCTCCCATTTCCCTAGCAGCCTCTCTGGGCCTGGGGGCTCTTCTTGTGAACGAGGGTCTTCCTTCCCTGGATGAGTTGAGCACTGAGCCACAATGGGCTGTAGGGCAGAGAAAAGGGGCTGAGGGGCCATGCCACCTTCTAGGTTTGCCTATGCTGATGCCAGAGCCCAGCTACCCTCCTGGGTACGACCTCACGTCAAAGTGTATGACAGCTTTGGCCCCATGATCCGAGATGTGGCCCAGTTCTTCCGTGTTGCTCAGAAAACTGTGAGCTTCCAAGTGCCCAGCTGGCTGGGCCATCATGGCTTACCCAGGGTGGGGGCTGAGTGCTATCCCTGGAGGAGCTGGAAATAGGCAGGGGCCTCACCTGCCCTGTGATTCTGCAGGTGCCGGTGCCATCCCCCCGGGTTCTAGCTCCTCTGGCTGTGGCCTCAAGTCTGGGTGAGGGAGAGCGTGCTGTCAGGGTGGCCACACGTCTGGGGCCCTGCCTGCCTACCAGGAAAGCTAAGAGTCTGGACCTGCATATCCCCAGTCTAAAGCAGAGGCCCTCAGGTGGGTGAGGGGCAGGGGTAGCAGTTCACCTGGCATAATGGGTTGCCCCTCCCTGCCTGGCCTCCCCAATGGGCTTGGTTGCTCATAATGGCACTCCTGCAGGGTCACCAGCTCCCAGGGACCCCGAGAGCAGCCTATGTGTGGAATATGAGCAGGAGCCAGTCCACACCCAGTGGAGACCCACAGGGCTGCTGGCCGCCCTGGAGCATAGCGAGCAGCAGGGCCAGGGGCCTGGGGCCAAGGCCCATGCTGCTGCAGAGGAGGTATGGGGCTAGGGGTGGATGCAAACCATCCTTCCCTGAGGCCAGGCCAAGCCCCACCCATCTGGCTTGGGCACCTCCCCTCTCACTCCTGTGAATCCCCTTCTGGGCAGATTGCCGGACTCTCCTGTGTGCTCTACGCCCCGCCCGGCTCTGCCTCAAGCCCTCTGCCTTTCCTCACTCCAGTTGCTGGTTCCCAGGACCCTAAGCCTTTAGCTGTTGCCCCCCACCCTGCCTGGTGTCTCTCCTGGTGCCTCCTGCAGGTTACCTTGGCCTAGTCCACTGAAGGTCTGGTGACCCCTGACACCTTCTGTGCCGCAGGCTACCCTTTCTCCAGGCCTGAGCTATGGGTGGAACCCCAAGTTTGTTCTCTTCCTGAGGCTTTTGCTCACAAGCTCATAATACCTGAGGCTTGCTCTGAAGCTTTCTCCCTGCCTTTCTGCTGGGAGCCTTTTCCCTTCCTGCTCTCCTTTCTGTTCTGTGGGCCCCTGGAATAAGCCCCAGGTGCTGACAATAGGCGCCTTGTCTCCTTTTTTTCAGTCCCCTCAGTTATCATGAAATTGTCCCTGAACCTGCTCTTATGGGGTAGGTGGCATAACTTGGAAAAGTGGCTGAATTGTGGCACTGTCCCCTGGAGGCCTCATTGTATGACTGACCTCCTCCCACCTGGAACCTCTGTCCAGGCTGCTGGTCAGGGTCCTTGAAGCCCCAGGGCCCCATCTTCCTCTGTGGACTAGGTGGGTGTCATAGGTGCTTTGAGGCCCCTGAACATGAGGGTTGGGACCACAGCTATATCCTCCACAGGCACATGGCAGCTGCACCCTGCCCATCCGGTGTGAGAAGAGGCTTGCAGATGAACAGAGAGGAGGGAGGAAGAAAGTCAGACTGGTCAGCTGCCTGGTATGTGAGCCATCCTGCAGTATGTGCTGGCCACTCACACACTCATGGGGTCTGGCTCTTGGCACTAGTGGCTTGTGGACTCCGGCCATGCAGGGGATGTGGGCCAGCCCAGAATTAGGGAGGCCACATCCATAAGCTGGTTTCCAGGCTGACTTGACCCAGGGCCTCAACATTTGCAGCCCCTATGCAAGTGTTAGGTGTCCTCTTCCTAGCCTGAATCCTGTCTAGCCTCGGACATGTTTGGTTTGGGACCTGCATTTGGCCATAGCCTCCCCACCTATGATGGGCAGCACTGGACCTGGGCCCCACTTCTCACTAGAGTATGGACACTAACCTGCCCCATGTGGGAAGGTGCAGCCAATCCTAGTGGTCAAGAGACAGACACCTAAGCCAGGAAGTCCCTACCTGCTGGAAAGCCCCAAGCGTGGTATCTGTTGTCCATGTCTCTCATCATCTGGGAAGAAGCAGGCAGCGTCCAGGAAATGGGCTGGCTGCAGAGGGGCCTGGGCCTGCCAGAGGCCACATGGGGACAGGAGTGGGAGATTCCTGGACCTTCTCTGCCTTGGTCCCTGTGTTTCCTATCAGCCTGGGTGTACAGGAGAGGTGGGTGTTGCATGTTGAGAATGCATCACCCTGAGCTGTTCCCCACATGTCAGCAGTACTACTTTTGGGCAGGAGGCTAGACGGAGGAGCTGGGGGACAAGCCTCCCAGGACTCCTAGCTTGAGGGAGAACACCAGCCCGGTGCCTCTTGCTGCTCTCCAAGCTGTGGGGAGCAGAGTGTGGCCATTTTACACTGAAGTTACACATGAGTTCCTCCAGCCTCTAAGCTGTCTACTGTAACTCCGGGCCCCACAGCCCACTATTCCAGGGAGCCCTAGCCATCCTCCCACCACAGCTTGGGGACCCAGCAGACGAGGCTGGATCTGACAGCAGCCTTGGGCCTGTGTACCACAGGAGGAGCCAGCAGCTGGCACACAGATGGGTAAAGCCAGGATTTTCATGGCAGCCGTGAAGGAGGTACTGAGCCAGGCCAACTTCAACACCTTCACCCAGGCCCTGCAAGACTACAAGGGCTCTGATGACTTTGCAGCCCTGGCAGCCTCCATCAGCCCTCTCTTTGCTGAGGACCCTGAGAAGCATAGCCTGCTCCAAGGTGCCATGTGCCAGAGGTTGTGCCCAGGGGCAGTACTAAAGCTGTAGGGGAGGGGCCTGCTTGGAAGAACCAGGCAGGAACCAGGGCCCAGGCTTGTCCCTACTCCTGAGAGAAGCATCAGGTGGGTAGCCTGTGGCCCTCAGAGCCCCCAGTCCACAGCCCTGGACACCCCTTCCTGACAGGCTTCTACCAGTTTGTGCGGCCCCACCACAAGCAACAATTTGAGGAAATTTGTGTCCAGTTGACAGGCCGAGGCTGCGGCTACCGGCCTGAGCATAGCCTTTCTCGACGGCAGTGGGCACAGTTAGCCCTGGACCCCAGTGGTGAGGCGGCCCCTGGCGGGACCCTGACACTCAGATTCGGAAGTCAGGGTGGCACCTTGGGTGCTGGGGTTGTGGCACAGACCTCCCAGGAGAAACCTGCATGCACCTGAGGCATCACTTGGCACATGCCAAGGGCTTGGGCCACTAGACACCTGTCCCCTCCTGCTCCCTACGTCTGTTTATAAATCCAGTTGAACCTGCATCTCCAGAGGTGGGAGTACCTGCTCTCAGTGGGCAGCCTGGCAGGAGGTGCCCCCAAGTCCCCATCTTACTTCACCTCTGCAGGTGCCCTGCTGTGAGGCCTGGTCTACCCCCAGTTGGGGTTCGGGGGAACCTCCCAGGGCCTCACTAGCCAACCGTGTGGTCTCTTATGTTTTGTTTTTTTTCAGGAAAGAGGGAGCCTGATCCTAAGCTGACCCTGTCCACAGATGTGGCTGGGCAGCTGGATTCCAGAGAGCACCTGAACCAGGGTGGCCCCCACCTAACCAACAGGCCACCCTGCACAGGTACCTGGCTTCTGTCTTCTCTGGGGCCTTGAAGGGGCTCAAACTTCAGTTTAGCCTCAGCCTTTGAGCCAGACCCACCACTGGAGCTGCAGACCACAATGGGAGGACTGGGGCCTGTGCTTGTCCTACACCCCTGTTGTCCTAAGCATCATGGAGGTGGAGGGGTGCAAAACCCTCTGGGCCTTAGACCCTGACACTGCTTCCTGTCTCACCAGGAGACTCCAGCAGCTGTCCACAAGCAGGACCCAGAACAGAGAAGCGGGGCCAGCGTGCTGTGAGCACCTATCTGGCCGACGCCCACAGGGCCCTGGGGTCTGCAGGCTGTAGCCAGCTTCTGACTGCGCTGAGAGCCTATAAAAAGGACGATGACCTCAACAAGGTGCTGGCTGTGCTGGCTGCACTGACCACTGCAAGACCCGAAGACTTCTCGCTGCTGCAAAGCAAGTGACCTTGGGGCAGCCAGTCAGTGTGGGTCAGGGGATGAGGTGGAGCTCATCAGGCCTGAGTGGAGCTCCCCACAGTGGTGTGGGTCAGGGAATGAGGTGGGGTGATGTCCCAGGCCTGAGTGGAGCTCCCCACAGTAGTGTGGGTCAGGGGATGAGGCAGGGTGTTGTCCCAGGCCTAAGTGGAGCTCCCCACAGGGTTTGGCATGTTCGTGCGCCCACACCACAAGCCGCGCTTCTTGGAGATGTGCAGGGACCTGACCGGCCTGCCCTCCCCAAGCACGGGCACAGGGTCGTTGGGACCCCAGGAAAGCCCTGCTGTGCCTCCTGAGTTTGTCTGTCAGCCTCCGCAGCCAAGTAGGGGCATGCCTGTGTGCTTCTGGCACCCCCATCCCATGTAGCCCTGGGGGTTGGGTGGCAGGGAAGCACCAGGCACCCCCTGGACTCACTTCTATCTATAGGGCCCTCACAGTTGGAGAAAACTGGGAAAGCTGAGAGCAAGATCTTGTCCTTTCTCGGACAGAAGCCGTCTGGGGACTCAGGGCTCAACGGTGCAGCAGGGCCTGGTGCATCCTACGGGCAGTCTGCACTGGGTGAGCCTTGTGGGAAGGGCAGCCTCCAGCAGCGAGCCACAGGTGCTCACTGTAGGCCACTTGCAGCAAGCTTCCCATGTCAGGGCTGTGGGGCTGAGAACACGGTGCTCTTCCAGTGCCCTTCCTGCGACTTCCACCGCTGCCAGGCCTGCTGGCAGCGGCACCTCCAGGTTGGCACCTGGCCCCTAAGAGCCCCTGCTGGGCATTGCCCTAGGGGGTGGGCTTGGGATGGCCCTCAGCCTGCTGGTGGTGCTTAGCAGGAATGTCCAGCAGCCTGGGTGTCTCCACAGATCTCTAGGACATGTCCAGCGTGCCATGCCACCTCCAGGAAGCAAAGCCTCACACAGGTCTTCTGGCTAGAGCCCCAGTGAGCCCCTCAAGGAAATCCTCGGGTCACCGCCACCGTGGCTGTTAACACTTGCCCATCCAGCTCTGGTGTGGGCTGAGCCTACTCAACAAGGCCTGGTGCCTGCCTGCCAGGCCCAGTATAGGCTGCAGAGGGGCAGGACCCAGAGTTCTTCCTGAAACTGGTGTAGGCTCTGGGCCTTACTGCAGAGCCCTGGCTTTGGGAAAGGAAGGGGCTTCTCTGGCATTTGGTTTATGAGTGGTTTCCCAGGGGCATCTCAGCTGAGCCAGGAGGGGAGCCCATGTGGACATGTGCTGACTTTTAATTAGAGAACAGGGACGTCTAATAAAGTTGTGGCAGTGCCCAGGACAGTGTCTCTATGCCTGAGTCTGGTAGTGGGATTCGAGGGCATGTGGGAGGATGGGGTGTTGCTCCAGCACCCCCTAACCCAGGAGAACTGAGCCCTGCTGGTCCCTCACAACTGAAGGGGAACCCAGGGTTCCCCCACTTCTACCCTGGGCTGCCATGCCCTGGTCATTAGGATAGGAGCAGGCCCTGGGGAGGATATTTCCCAGGCTCCTAAGGCCCCTCACAGAACTTGCTCCTGGCAGAGGCAGCGATAGGCTGGGGAGGGGCGTGGCAAGGCTGGTCTGCCACCCATATACGTTGCCAGGCTGCTGGAGCTAAAGCACGTGGGAAGAGGCAGGTAGAGTAGGACCTAGCTAGCCTAGGGAGCCGGGGAGCACTTAGTGTCCTCTCCCAGCAGGCTGGGGAGGTGGTGTGTTGAGTGGACTGGGCCATGTCTCAAAGTCCCTGCTGAGCCATGCTCTCATTGCTCCAACCAAGGACACAAGGCGTCAGAGAGACCGGGTCTGTCGCTGGCTCTGGCTATGTGCAGGTTAGTGGATATGCCCACCTACCTGTGGCAGGGTGGTGAAATGAGTGGCTGGCATGCACCAAATGGCGCCACCACCCCCCGCCCCCCCCCCCCGGGCCCCCCCGCCCCCCCCCCCCACATCCACCGAGGAGGCTGTGGTACGTGCCCCCCGCACCTCTGTGCAGGAGCCATGCCACTGGGATAGCCCCATGATGTGCAGTGTGTGCTCCCTGTGCCACTACTGCACTGTTCTCTTGGGGAGCACAAGGAGGCGGTGCAGCTGTGCCATGCCACCCACAACTGTGCCTGCCACTGCCACCCTGGGTTTTTCACACATGCTGGCTTCTGCCTGGAGAACACACCATGTCCACCTGGCGCCAATGTGATTGCTTGGGGTAGGGAGTGGGGAAGAGGGGAGCCTGGAAAAGATATGTAAGGGGGAGCCTTGAGCAAGGATACCCCAGACTCCCATAACCTTGCTCTCATCTCCCTTGCCTCTGTCAGGCACCTCAGGCCAGAACACAGTGCCCAGCCGTATCCCCCAGGCATCTTCTAGGCCAGCAGCTCCAGCTCAGAGCAGTGTCAGCCTCACAACTGCTCAGCTCTGGCTCTTCCCAGGACACCCTATGCAGTAACTGCATTGGCTTCCTGCTCAGCTGGCCCTGGGGAGTGGGGAGAGCCAGGTGAGCCTGGGGACAAAGAGGGCTGGGCAGATCAGCTTGTGCCCCTTCTATCCCTCAGATAGGAGTCTAGACCTGCAGTAAGAGGGTCAGGAGGTGCCCAGAGTCCGGCCCCCTGAGGTGGCCAAATGTTAGGATATAGGCTAGACACACAGCACATTCTCCCAGTCTTCCCAGCCATCTCAGAGGAAGGTGACTACTTCCTCAACATTGGGAAACTGAGGTCTACAGAGAATACAGTTGGAGTGTGTAAACAGAGGCTAAGTAACACTATCAGTGTTAGGTCAAGTCTAGTCTCACTGCCCATTCTGGCCTGGAGTTGCTGCCCCAGCCAGACATCCTGCAGCTCCCTGCTGGCTTATTTTTCTTCCCAGTACTGCACCACCACCACCACCGCCCCTGTGTAGCTCCAATACACTCACCTGCTTCACACACAGGGATTCCCTTTTGTTCTGTGAACTCCCCAGAGCCCAGAAAGCAGAGCACCTAAGTGACCCAAGCCCCTGCCTTACCCCGACCCTCTTTGCAGGGCCTGAGTGTGAGCATGTGCTCATCAACTTTGTGATCTTCCAGGATGTCTCCTTTAAGAGGCTTCAGTGACTGTGGCACTGCAGTGTCACGGCACTCCGTGGGGCACCGGTAGCACAGCTGTTGTATGTGCAGGGTGCAAATGCCAGGGCTGGAGCAGAGTATCCGCGCATGTTTCCTCCCCATGCACTGAGCGCGGCCCCTCTTTCAGAAAGCTTTTTTTAAAGGGGAACTTATTAAAAGTTTATTTTTATAAGGCCATTTGTAACATTGGTTGTACCCCTGTTGTGGGGCTACACCAGCGGAACACTTGGGTAGAAGTCTCACCCCAGGCCCCCAGTTTTCTAGCCAGAAGCATGCCCCACCCCACCCCCAGCAAGGGTCATTGCAAGGGGCCTGGTGCTGGTGGTCCCTCCTACTGGTTGTGGCACATGGAGGGGGGACACCTCCAGTTTACTTACTAGAGGTTGGGATAGTGCAGGCAACAGCCAGCATGGTGCCTGAGCTCAAGGTGCTCACCCACTCCCCCTGGAGCCTCCCACTCAGGGATTTCTCAAGAGGGGACCAGCCAAAGACTTCCCCCCGGGCTTCCTGAAAGTGAGGCCTTTTCCTTCCACCCCAGACCTACCCAGAGCAACTGGGGCCTACTGCAGACCCCTCTATACCCACTATGAGTCACAGCAGGAGGTGCTACACCCACCCACGCCTTGAGGGGGAGCCTCTGGGCCTCTGCACGTCCCAAGTCTATAAGAAGGGTGTGCCCTGCAGACCATGACTGCCAAGATGCTCACCTGCCCCTTGGGGGCCCAGAGGAAGGGATAGATGAGAGCTGGCTGGACAGTTCTGCACACAAGCTTCCTGCCAGCCCTCTGCCACACTGTCTTAGAGGGCCCTCCTGCATCAGGGGCAGGGGGCTGTGCTGTGTGGGGTGACTCTGAGGATCCTTGTCCCCACCACAAGGGGCACAGGAGTGGGGATGGTTAGGTACCTCCACAGTCCCCAAGGCGACCCCACCACCTGCTCTGAGGACTTGGCCTAGTGGGAACCAGGGTGCTGTCTTAGCTGGCCACAGGCACTTGGCAGTGGAAAGGCTCTATGCCCCATAAACAATAGCCAACCTGCCCAGGGCACCACCCCCCCAATCATCACCTCTCCAGGGGGTCACAACGAAGCTATGCCCAGCCAGTATAGGGCAGTTGTCCTCACAAGCAGTCTCCCCAGCCCTGTTCTGAGGCTGGGTCAGAACCTTGGGCCCAGCTGGCCCCTCAAGGGCAGACCATCTCCAGGGTCAGAGGGACAGAGCCCAGTGAGCATTGGACACATGGCCACCTCCTCAGGTAGCCTGGACAGAGCAGCCTGGGGGCTCCCGAGAGCCCCCCAGTACCACCATCCCACCCACCCCCCCACCCACAGAAGCCCTGGATGCCTCTACTGCTCCAGACTCAAGAGGAAATATGTCTTTCAGGAACACAAAGCACAAAGAATCACAAAGCAAAACAAGCCCGACCCCAGGGCTGGTGGCACAGGGGCCAGCAGGAAGCCCCCTCCTCCAGCACATGCAGATGAGCTGCCCAAGAGCAGGCCAGTGCGCCTACGTGATGTCCCTCTGCCGCGGTGGCCGGTGGACATTCCGGATGACACACTTCACCATCCACTCGATGCCCTCGCGTACCCCCTTGCTGTGGAAACAAAAGCACATGAGAGGGTGCCCTTGGGCCCAGGCCCCCAGGAGTAAAGACCACTTACCCCGTGAGAGCAGAACAGGCCTGGGTCAGGCAGTCACGCCGACCGATCTTGCCAGTGCAGTCACTGAAGGCAGTCTTGATGTCAGGGATAGACAGGCAAGTCTGAGGAGGTAAGGCTTTGAGGGGCAGGCCCAGGGAAGGAGAGGAAATGACTGAGGCAGAACTTGGCCAGGGTTTCCTACATGGTGGCCACAATGGCTGTGGGACCCAGAGCTTGGTCGCCAAGTCCACACATGGCTCCACCACAAGGGTCACTTAGAAAATAGGCATCACAGCGACCACCCTCCAGCCCCCATCCCTTAGAGTGGGCTCTGAGATGGTACATTGAGGTCCAAGGCCTGGGTGGTGGAGGGGGCAGGTCCCAGTGACCTTCACAACATGTGTGAGGCCCAGCTGGGAAGCAGTGATGAGGTTTCTGCTCAGAATCACCTGGAGACCTCTATGCCCAGGGGAGACCTCGGTCTGGGCTGAGGTAGGTGAGCCCTGCAGTGAGTAGCTGGGGCTCGCTTACCTCCACATCCTGCTTGTTGGCCAGCACGAGAACAGGGACGCCGCACAGGGCCTCACTTGTCACCACCTTCTCTGGGAGGAGGCAGAGAGGGCACCTTACTCCCAGCATCCCGTGTGCCCACCCCCCTGCACACCAGGGCAGTATGTTGTCAGCAGGAGCTGGGCCTGACCCCCTCCAAGGCCATGGGATGTTCAAACCGGACCTGACCCCTTCCCCCAACTCCTCTCCACTGCTCACATGGCCCAAGACCTCCCTTCCTCCTGCAAGCAGCCAGGCCACTCACCAAATGCTTGCTTGGATTCCGCTAACCTCTCCTCATCAGTGGAGTCAATGACGTAGATGACACCGTGGCACTCTGCATAGTACTAGGAGGAAGCAGCAGGAGCTGGGGCTGCTGCTGCCCCCCCTGCCTGGGGCCAACATGGCCAGGCCCCAAGGCATAGCTGCTCTAAGGGGCCCAGGAGAGGATGAGAAAGGTAGAGGGCAGCATGGACTCAGTCACCATGGGGGTGTGACTCAAAGAATAAGGGCACCCCTCAACCAGATGCATTCTAAGGATGGAGATACCAGGGGTGCAGGTACCCCCAGACTTCTGGGAAAAGGTATGCTGCCCTGGCAGGAGTGATCAGCTTTTCTCTGCCCGCTTCTAGGGGATTCTCCTGAGAAGCTTGTGCCCTTTGGTCTAATAGTAGCCACAGAAACACAGGGCTTGGGGCTGGCAGATCCTAGACCACAGCCTTGTCCCCCACAGGGGAAATGTGCTGTTCAGGCCTCATGCAGTCCCCTGGGCATAGGCAAGTGTAGCTACACAGATGGCAAGCCTGACAGGTGCCACTGAGGGGCAGGGCCAGTGCTGGCTGAGCAACAAGCTCTCCTTATCTGATTGGGGCCAGTACTGCTTTAGCTCAGCCCTCTGAGGGCTGGACCGGGTCCTGGGCTCATTCACAGCAACGGAGTCACTACAGTGGTGCCCAGTGGACAGACCCACATGGTCTTGGGCATGAGACCTGAGCCAGTGAGTTTCTGTCCCAACCAGAAAAGAACACAGGAAACTACCTGTGTCCATCTGGAGCAGACAACAGCATGTGCTGGTCACTTCTCAGGGCTAGGCCTACTCTCCTACCCTGGCATGAGCACCCAGAGACCTGAATCTGACTTTGACTGGGTAGGACAAACTAGTAGTCACTGTGCAGTAACACACATCCCCTAAGATGTGCAGCCTGCCAGCTCTCCAGAACCTTGGGGCATACTGCCTGCTACCTAGCCCCGAATGAGACAATCTCTTGCACCTATACCCCCAGAGTGGGGAGGAAACCCTGTGTCAGGTATCCCCCACAGGAACTTCTCCAGCCAGGAAACAAGTCCGACACAGAGGTAACCAGCTCTAGGAGGTAAAGAGTAGACATGGGGCCCACCAGGGTGTCCATTAGTAATGAAGCAACCTCAGTGGTGCCTGTGGTTCAGTGAGCAGGACACCAGCCCCATATACCAAGGGTGGTGGGTTCAAACCCGGCCCCGGCCAAACTGTAACAAGAAAATAGCTGGACCCCAAGAAGCTGAGAAGGTGGCTGACAAAGTGATGGCTATCTTTTTTTTTTTTTTTTTTGAGACGGAGCCTCAAGCTATCCCCCTGGGTAGAGTGCCATGGCATCACGCCTCACAGCAACCTCCAACTCCTGGGCTCAAGCGAGTCTCCTGCCTCAGCCTCCCAAGTAGCTGGGACTACAGGCGCCCACCACAACGCCTGGCCATTTTTTGGTTGCAGCCATCATTGTTGTTTGGCGGGCCCGGGCTGGGGATTCGAACCCACCACCTTAGGTGTATGTGGCTGGCGCCTTAGCCGCTTGAGCCACAGGCGCCGAGCCAGTGATGGCTATCTTGACTGGTACTGTGGAAGATGAATTTTCCCAACAATTAAATCTTGCCTTTTCACACCCAAATTTTGTAATTTTAATCTTGTAAAATATAATAAATGTGTTCCTACCTTGTCACCTTTTCTCATAGGCTCATTACTGGACTACTTTAAATCTCCATGATCATACCATGCAAAAATATTTATTAAATATCTGAATATAAAAAAAAAAAGAAAGAAAGAAAAGAAAATAGCTGGGCATTGTGGTGGGCACCTATAGTCCCAGCTACTCAGGAGGCTGAGGCAAGAGAATCAGCTAAGTCTAAGAGCTGGAGGTTGCTATGAGCTGTGATGCCACCGCACTCTATTAAGGGTGACAAAGTGAGACTCTGTCTCTTTAAAAAACAGGAAAAAAAAAAAGAAATGAAGCAACCTGGGCTGGCCTAACAGTGATGCTGAACAACGGATACAGGCCAAACTGGACAGGTTCCACTCACCAAGGCTGAAAAGCCATTGCCAAGCACCTGGCCTGAGAGTAGCAGTGTGGCTGTGGCCAGTAGAGTGCTATCCATGGAGATCAGAGTACCTTGGGTCTGTCTCTCCAGCAGCAGTGGGAGCTCCCCAAGCATAAGGTGCCAGCATGCAGGACTACATTACACCTAAGTCAGCCTAGGAGCCTCCCGTCACAGCAAAGGCCCTAGGGGCTGACATTTTAGCATGTGCCCCATATACCTGGATGCTGTCCAGGGCTAGGCTAGCCGTTGTGTCCCCATGGAATAGCACTGCTGAGGTTGAGGCCCCAGAACAAGGCAACTCCTCTAGCTAGAGACAACCCTATGACACTGGGCTCCATATAAGGATGCAATGTCCAAGAACCAGGAGTGGGAATAGCAGCTTCCCTCAGCCATCCACAGTCCCAACAACTCATCTGCCCAAGCGACCTACTTTCTGCCCCGACCCACTCACTACCTTCCTGGCACCCATCTCCAGGATACATTCCATACCCTAACCTCTGTCTCAGTGTCTGTGCCTAAGACCCTGACCTATGACGAGAACATCACCGTCTGTCATGACCTAATGCATCCGCCATTTGAACAAGCAGGCCCTGACCTGGCTTGTCCTGGTGGACTCAAGTGGCCACAGAGGAGCTATCAAAAACCTTTTGGCCACAGAAAAGAGCAGCCTTATTGGCTAGAAGTCAAGGCAAGAGGGGACACTTTGAGGGACCCGGGAAAAGGTAACTGAGACCAAAATATAAATCAGGACCTGGGCACTCAGTTCTAAACACAGCAACTAGTGTCAGGGCAGCCAAGATGTCCGTGTTCCCAGCACTGGGCTGCACCAGACGCAGCAGGCCAATTGAGGGAAGGGGCTGGGTCTGTCCTGCTCAGTGTCTGGATGGGCAAAGATGGTGACAAACTCCAGCCTGGGGTGGGTAGGGAAAGGGGAACCAACCTGGGGTCTCAGAAACACCCAAAACCTTAATCAGCAAGGAGAAAGTTGCTGTCAAGCTCTAAGGATATCCTCCCTATGAAGCAAAAAACCTCACCATGGAAGAACGGATGTTATGCTAAAAATACGAGGGGATGTAGGCTTTGTGCCTTCCCCACATCTGATCTTTGCCACTTCCACCTGCAGCCTACGGTGACCTCTAAGCTGAAAGGAAGCAAGTGTGTTCTCACTTCCAAGGGAATGGAGGGTCTTCAAAGTTCCCACACTATTTCTCTGCCTGAGCAAAAAACAGAGAGTCCCCTGACTGCTAGGTGACGTGACCAGCTAAGTTTTCTTCTGTAGGTTCAAACCTGAGCCAAAGATTTATACGTTCCCAGGCACTTATAAAAGTGTTTAGCTTGGGGAGGCACCTGTAGCTCAGTGAGTAGGGCACTGGCCCCATATACTGAGGGTGGCAGGTTTGATCCCGGCCCGGCCAAACTGCAACAAAAAATAGTCAGGCATTGTGGTGGGCGTCTGTAGTCCCAGCTACTTGGAAGGCTGAGGCAAGAGAACTGCTTAAGCCCAAGAGCTGGAGGTTGCTGTGAGCTGTGACGCCACAGCACTTTTGTCTTTAAAAACAAAAAAATATGTTTAGCTTGGCTCAGTGCCCATAGCACAGTGGTTATGGCGCCAGACATATACACCAAAGGCAGCGGGTTCAAACCCGGCCTGGGCCAGCAAACCAACAATGACAACTGCAACAAAAAATAGCCAAGCATTGTAGCAGGCACCTATAGTCCCAGCTTCTTGGGAGGCTGAGGCAAGAGGATTGCTTAAGCCCAAGAGTTTGATGTTGCTGTGAGCTGTAAGGCCATGGCACTCTACCGAGGGTGATATAGTTAGAGTCTGTCTCAGGAAAAAAAAAAAAGTGGTTAGCTTATCACCCAAAACATTGAAAGAAACCAGCCCCAGCCCTGAACCACATCCCTTAAAACCTCATAAATGTCACCCCCTGTGCCCCTTGCTGCAGACACAGCCAGGTAAAACATCCTTCCTTTGACTGTCCACCAAGGGTGTGCTGCAGCAGTCTCTAAATGAGTTTCTTCAATAAATGCTCTGACCAGATCATCCTGGCATTCAGCAATTCTTTCCTTAGAATCCCAACCAGTCCCATCTTGGGATGGTTAGGGGTACTTCCTCATAGTAAACTCCCCTGCTGTTACTTTTGGGGCAACTCTGTGAGTTTGGCCAAGACAAAACAGGGAGTGATTCAGAAACCTGGGATAGGACTGGGAAGAACCTCAGGAACAAACGGATAATAGAAGCTGCTGAGGAGGAAGGAGCCAAGGGGCACCACCTGGAAAGAAAAGGCACCAGTGATGAGGGATGTAGGCAGTGCCCTCCAAGGAACCTACCTGGGGCCCAGCTTACCTTATCCCACAAAGACTGCAGCTCTTCCTGTCCCCCTAAGTCCCAGAACATGAGGCGAGCCTTTCCCACATCCACTGTGCCAACTGGAAAGAGTGAGAAAAGGGAAAATGTACAGTTTTAGGCCTCAACACACCAAGTCCCAGATCTACCAAAGAAGTGGTTCTCAACCTTCCTAACGCTGCGACCCTCTAATACAGTTCCTGTGAGTTGCAACGCACAGGTTGAGAATGGCTGCCCTAGAGAATGGAGCCAACCAGTCTGATGCTGCTCTGAGGTGGCATGGTTAGAGGCCTGGCAGACAGATCTCTGGCCACTGGCAGCTGGGTTGTGAACATCACAGCATCCTCAGGGCCCCAAACCCACAGTTTTAAAGTACCCCCTTACTATTTAGACCCACGGTGGTGGTGATTTTGGATAGGCTCATCCCTTTGTAGTTCTTGTTAAACCGGGTTTTCGACTGTTCCAGGAAGGTCTGAAGAGAGAGGGAGAAAGATGCATAAGGTAGGGACTGGGGCAGTTTTCCCAAAAACCCTTCTCAAGCCTATTCTTAAAAAAAAAAAAAAAAAAAAACCAAAAAAACTGTTCCACTATGGTCTTAGGAAAAGTTTAGATTCTGTCTGGGCAGTGGACAGGCAACGGATGTTATAAAACACAAAGGTGGACCACGTGGGGAGGGTACCTACCGTCTTCCCCGCATTGTCCAGGCCCAAGATCAGGATGCAGTACTCGTCTTTCTGGAACATGTACTTGTACAAGCCTGACAGTAGTGTGTACATCCTGCCCTGGGCACCTGAGACGGCATGGTCATGGGGCAGCCCGCACGAACCCCACCTCCCGCCATATTGAACAGTGGCTGCCCTGGGGGCCTTTCTTGCTCCTTGTCCTGTTCCACGTCTACACTGTGAGAATTCTCCGTAACTGCTCCCAGATAGCCACTCCCAGTCGTTCTGCTCACAGCAGGGACTCTGATCTTTCCCAACATAAATCCGTTCTGGTCCCTCCTCTAAAGACACCGCTACAGCACACCACCCCCCAGAGCTCGCCGGCCAAGGGTATGCAGTGAGCGCGTCCCTGCCCGCCCCTTGCTTGCGGACCCAGAGTGCGCTCAGCCTCGGGGCAGTCAGCGACCAGCGCAGGTCAGCAGCCTGTGCGGACGTTCGGGTGGAACCGTCACCCCGTCTCTCCCAAGGGGCAGGAGCATCTGGGGGCGGATACAGGGCGGGTTTGCCGCGGGCCCGCCGCTCCCGCAGCGGACCGGAGGTGAAGTGTGGAGGCCGGCGGGGCGGGGTGGGGACAGGCTCCCGCGGCAGGACCCAGGACCAGAGCTCGCAAACAGACCCCCGCGCTTCCCCAAGTCCTGGGCGCCGCTCGGGCCCGCCCCGCCACACAGCCTCCGGCCTACCTGCGCCGGCCGCGCCTCAGAGCCGCCGTGGCACCTACTCCCACTGACCCCGCGCGGCGCCTGACGGGACGCTGGCTGGACACAGCAGCAGAGGCGGAGCGACGTCCCAGCGGCCACTGCGCGCAGCGTTCCAGCAGCCCTCGCGCCGGGCACTTCCGGCAGCGACGGCGAGGGAGGAAGTGCTGGCCGGCGGAGAGGGCGGAAGGGGGCGCCGGGCGCTCTAGCCGGTGAGGCCAGCGGGCTCTCTATGGCGGCGGCTGGGTGGCCGCGTGGAGTCGGAACCCGTCGCGGAAAAGGCGGGCCGCGGTGTGCGGGGTCGGGGCCTGGGCTGGGCGAGGCCTGGTCTAGGAGGAGCTGGGCGGCGCCCTCCTCCGGGCGTCCGCACGTTTGAGGGAGCTGAGGGCCGGCGGGCTGGGCCGGCGCGAGGAGAGGGCTCTGGGGCAGGTCCCGGACGGCCGCGCAGGGCCGGGCGGCTTGGGGAGGGGAACACAGAGCTCGGTGGGGTGGAGCCGGGCTGACGGGCCGGGCTGGCCTTTCCCCGGGGGGTTGCTTCCTCTGTGTTCTGCTCTTGTTCGCGCAGGCTGTTGGGAGGACTTGGTGACATGTTCCGCTCGAATAAGGCGGCCGATCCGGGCTCACGTGGCTTCTCTTCCTCGTAGCTCGGGTCCCTCAGCTTCTTTCCCAGGATCCAGAGACCCACGAACCCGCCCCTGCCGTCCCGGGGAAAACAGCGTCCCTCTCACAGAATGGACGAGGAGAACCTGGAGACGGCGCTGCAGACCTACCATGCACAGCTGCAGCAGGTGGAGCTGGCCCTGGGCGCCGGCCTGGACCCATCCGAGCAGGCGGACCTGCGCCAGCTGCAGGGGGATCTGAAGGAGCTGATCGAGCTCACTGAGGCAAGCCTGGTGTCCATCCGGAAGAGCAAGCTGCTGGCTGCCCTGGATGGACAGCACCCGGCCCGGGACGATGCCGACTACCTGCCTTTCCAGAAGGCCGTTGCTGAGGTGGTGGAGGGGTCAGCAGCCCTTGGGGGAGAACTGGAGACCGTGCCTAAAACGGAATCAGGGCCAGAGCCCTCCAAAAGTGGGCAGGAGGAGGAAGAGGCAGAGGACAGCGACGACGACGACAATGACGACGAGGAAGGGTTGAGTGGGAGGAAGGTGAACGCACCCTACTACAGCTCATGGGGCACCCTGGAGTACCACAGCGCCATGGTCGTGGGGGCCGAGGAGGCGGCCGACGGCTCCGCAGGGGTACGGGTGCTGTACCTCTACCCTACGCACAAGTCCTTGAAGCCCTGCCCGTTCTTCCTGGAGGGGAAGTGCCGCTTCAAGGAGCACTGCAGGTAAAGCCCCATGGTCACCAGGTCACCAGGTTGCCAGGTCACCGGGCCTGGGAGCGCTGTCTGGATCTGCAGTTATGCTATTGGCTTCTGGGGCGGGTGAGTCTCACGGAGCGCCTTCATCCAGGTGTTTAGTTGGTATTTCTTTGCTTAATCAAAAGCCTTGAATGGCTTATGTTTGAACAGAACAGGCCTCCGACCTATTGTCAATTTTATCTTGCAGAATGCAACTTTAAAAATTTACTTTCCTTACAGAAATTGTCAAACATAAGCAAAATCAGAGTGTACCATAAAATCAGTGTCCATAATCTATCATCCAGCTTCATTATTTAACCTTTTTGTTAATCTTGCCTCATGTGTTTTCCAGGCCTTATTTTTTTCTTTTCCTGGAATGTTGTAAAGCGAATTCTAGAAATTATTGGGCTTTTTTGCTCCTATAAATACCTCAAGATGCACCTCTAACCTAACTGATGAGGCTGTTATTAAAAAAGTAACTTTTAAGTTTTTATACCTGATAAATTTAATGGTAATATCTTGTTCATATTAAAGAATCCACAGTTGTTGCCATGGTGTCTTTTTTCCTTAAACGCATAGTTTTTTCCTTCTTTTTTTTTGAGACAGAGCCTCAAGCTGTCCCCCTGGGTAGAGTGCCATGGCATCATGCTCACAGCAACCTCCAACTCCTGGGCTCAAGCGAGTCTCCTGCCTCCGCCTCCCAAGTAGCTGGGACCACAGGCGCCCGCCACAACGCCCGGCTATTTTTTGGTTGCAGCCATCATTGTTGTTTGGCGGGTCCGGGCTGGGGATTCGAACCCACCACCTTAGGTGTATGTGGCTGGCGCCTCAGCCGGTTGAGCTATAGGCGCCGAGCCCTTTTTTTTTTTTTTTTTTTTTTTTTGTAAGAAACAAAGTCTTGGCACAGTGACTCATGCCTATAATCCCAGCACTCTGGGAGGTGGAGGCGGGTTGATTGCTTGAGTTACGGAGTTCAAGACCAGCCCAAACAAGAGCAAGACCCCATCTCTAAAAAGTAGGTGGTTGTTGTAGCTGCCACCCAAGAATCTGAGGTTGCTGTGAGCTGTGATGTCACGGCACTCTACCAGGGGTGAGAAAGTGAGGCTCTGTTTAAAAAAAAATAGAGGCAGAGTCACACTTTGTCAGCCTGGCTTAAGTGCCTTGGTGTCATAGCACACAACCTCAAACTCATGGGCTCAAGCGAATCCTTTTGCCTCAGTCTCCTGAGTAGCTGGGACTATAGGTGCCACCACCATGCCAAGCTAAATTTTTTATTTTTAGTAGAAATGGGGGTCTGGCTTTTGCTCAGGCTGGTCTTGAACTCCTGAGCTCAGGCAATTTTCTTGCCTCAGCCTCCCAGAGTACTGGGATTATATGTGTGAGCCACTGCACCTGGCCCCCATAGCTTTATTTTTGCTCCTTTTTACTTTTTCTTTAGATGAATTATTTACAGAAACTTCCAGTTGATAATTTGTTGTTATAGTCAGTAGTTCGGTGTAACCATATCTAATTCTTTGGATGTCTTATTTCTGTACAGACTTCTGCTGGATCCAGAATCTTACTTGTTATGTCTCCCTTTCCATATGCAGAGAAGTGCATGAGCCCATCTCACTAAATGAATTTCACAGAGCAGGCACACCTGCACAGCCAGGGTACTTTCCTGTCAGGTTATCCACATTGCTAGATGGTGTACTATGTGATACAAGCTCTGACACATCCTCAGGGTGCTTCACCAGGCACCATTCAGAGACTTCCCACACACATTCAGGCATCTGTACAGCAGTCCTGTAAGTTAGGTATTGTAGTCATTCCTGCTTCATAGGAAGAAGCAGGAGCAGAAGCACTAAGTGCCTGTCCACGGTGACTGAGAAGGGCTCTGAGCTGCCCTCAGCCACAGTTCCAGCCAGTCTTCCATGTGAAGCTGCTTGCTGTGTCAGCATTAGGCCTGAACTGTATCCTTTGGAAGCATCTTAACAAATACCTACCTCACTACCACTCAAGACCGATAAGTTATTTTCTTAGATAACTTTTCTTTTGGAGACAGAGTCTCACTCTTGTCCTGGGTGGAGTACCGTGGTATCTTAATAGCTCACAGCAGGCCCAAATTCTTGGCCTTAAGATCTTATTGCCTTAGTTTTTCGGTCTGTTTTAGTGGAGTCTCATTCTTGCTCAGACTGGTCTCAAACTCCTGAGCTCAAGCAGTCCACCCACCTTGGCCTCCTAGAGTGCTAGGATTATAGGCATGAGCCACCACCCCGGCCTGCTTTGGAATTTTCAAAACAAAGAAATAAAATAATACAGGCCTGGCTCGGCACCTGCAGCTCAAGTGACTAAGGCACCAGCCACATACACTTGAGTTGGCAGATTCGAATCCAGCCTGGGCCTGCCAAACAACAATGACGGCTGCAACCAAAAAATAGCCAGGCATTGTGGTGAGCACCTGTAATCCCAGTTACTTGGGAGGCATAGGCAGGAGAATCACTTGAGCCCGGGAGTTGGAGGTTGCTGTGAGCTGTGATGCCACAACACTCTACCCAGGGTGACAGCTTGAGGCTCTGTCTCAAAACAAACAAACAAAAATAATAATAATATAGGCCTAGTGTGATGGCTAATGCCCATAATCCTAGCAACTTGGGAGGCTGAGGTGGGAGGATCACCAGAGGTCAGGAATTCAAGACCAGCCTGGGTAGTGGATAACATTGCAGGTCCCCATCTCCCTCAAAAAAATTAAAATATTAACTGGGCACAGTTGTGTGTACCTTCAGTCTTAACTACTTGAGAGCCTGAGGCTGGAGAATTGCTTGAGTCTAGGAGTTTGAGGCTGCAGTGGGTCATGATTGTGCCACTAGACTCTATCCTGGGGAACAGAGCAAGACCTCATCTCTCCCTTTTTTTTTTTTTTTTTTTTTTTTGAGACAGAGTTCTTACTCTGTCACCCTGGGTAGAGTACTATGGCATCATAGCTCACAGCAACCTCAAATTTCTGGGCTCAAGTGATCCTCTTGCCTCTGCCTGCGAAGTAGCTGGGACTACAGTGCCTCCCACCACCACACCTGGCTAACTTTTCTATTTTCAGTAGAGATGGGCTCACTCTTGCTCAGATTGGTCTTGAACTCCTGGACACAAGCAAGCCACCAGGCTTGGCTCTCGGAGTGCGGGCATTACAGTCCTGCTTCACTTTCAACTCTCTGCCTCTTTTTACTTTAAGCTCTTAAGTGGCTTCTTAGTTATGCCTGGAATGTCATTCCTTAAAAATACAAATCCTTTAATATACTTATAAATATTTCCAGACCTGCTCCCTGCTTCTTCATTTCATTCTTTTGACACTTTCCTTTGACTCTAAATCTCAGCTCAGCCTGACTTCTTTTAGTCCCTGGAAGAAAACTGCCCTGTAGTTTCAGGTCTCTGCTCACGCTGCTCTCGGGGTCTGAGCACCTCCATTTCTTTTGCCTGCCTCGCTCTAAATTAACTCTCAGATCTGACTTGGACTCCGTCCTCCAGAGAGCTCTTTCTAGCCTTGGCCTGGGTTGCAAACCACCTGCGTTTCCATTACTGCAGCTCTTATCCCAATTGATTGTCATTGCCTGTTAAATGGTCCTCTTCCCCCAACAGATTGTAAACACCGTCCCA